TGGACTCCAGCACAAGCCATCCTGGAAAGTGTCTTACGTATTTCACTGATCAAACACGCTCTTAATGGATTCGGAAAAGCCATAATTATTAAAAGTATCCCATCTGTCATGTCTTACACGAGGTTTAGCGAGGAAGTCATTCAGACCTAATTATATACTTTTTCCCGTAGGTCGACAGTTATAGGACTGCCAAGTCCTAAAGTCAAACTCTTTCATTTACAGCCTGAATCTGAATGTAACCGAAAACTTCCCCTTTGTGTTGAAGACAGAGATAAGTTAGCTACCTTGACAGTGAATTTAGAAAATTTAGAAAAACGAGTGTTGCACTTAAGGACCGAGAAGAACAAATGAATCACTGACTTAGTTACAGCTCATACAGTGCGCGTTTCATCGCACGTGTCTGTAAGTAAAGTACTTAAGTAAGTAGGCATTCAACTTTTCAGAACACACTTTGTTATCTCACGGTGGCCCACAGCAGTGCTATTTAGATGATTTACTTGATCAAATGTCCACATTTACTTCGTGCCAGCGAGGATAATCCCACTTGGCATTCCTTAAAAAGACTAAAGACGCACAATCCTATATTATGGCCTCTTGAAATAAAAATTTCGATTCCAGTACTTTTGACTGATTCCTGAGGATTCGCTAATCAGTGCTGCTTTATATGAAGGTTTATGCTTCATCTTACTTTTTTGCAGTGTGTATCCTGTGAGCTTGAGCGAGATAGTCTGTTCAACATGAAATCAATCGATAGTCAAATGAAAACCACATCCTTTGTTCCACTATCTTATGCTGATAGCACGTTACAGTCTAAGAGCCATTACCCAATAGGTGATCTGTCAATTCTTTGCAACTCAACCTTTCATATATCATTCGTAAATTGATTTTGCATTCTGCTAATGGCTTAGTCATCAAAACTATTCTGGTATACTCTGCCGGGAACCCAGTAGACAGATCTACGGGAATGGAAAGCTACAGGAGGCTCATTTCTTTTTGCTTATGCACTACCATTTTGTTTTTCTCCAGTTTCTCAAAGTCGAAATGACCCCAGAGATATGCGCAATACGTCTCGTACTTGAACCGCCTCGTCTTTAGCTGTACCCAAGCTGCATACACTTCTGTCTCTCTAGACTGAGCAACTCGCTGTATTCCGAGTAACTCACAATCGGTCAAAGCATAAAACGTGATTTTATTGTCATATGCAACCGTCATTCACTCGGCCCTGTCCCGCATTGAGATAATCCAGATACAGCGAAACAGTTGACCAACACAGCCTCCACAGATAATTGTATACGCATACGGGAGCCCCTGAATGTCTCAATTGGCTCACTCTTCTTCAGTGTTTCCAGTCAATCAGCTACAGAGTCTTTCAGACCCCTACACAGAGAACCAGAGACATCACCAAATCCCCCATTCAGTTCTTTCTACTTCATCTCCGCGTCATCGATATACATTTTTCCCAACGTGATTCGTCAACTGTTAACAAGGTGCGATGCGAAAGATGACTATTAGTCTTCAGTCTTCAGTTTTTAGGATTGAGGGCAGACGGCAGGGTGCCCGTGTAAGCCCCATCACCACTGGGTCGAAGGTCCGATCACAAGTGTTCGTTCCTCCATAGCCCCTTCAGGTGCTCATCCAGACGCCGTTTAAAAGCAGCGTCTGTCTTCTCTTCCACCACAATCGCTGGAAGGGAATTCCAGAGTGTTGTTGACCTACGCGAGAGTCGGTAGACTAACGGAAGACCAACTGACTGAAGTTTCCGTAACGTGAGAGAGTGCCCCCGCGTGCGGTGCTCTGTCCGTAAAGGGAAGTACTGTTGCAGCTCCGGGCCCATATCACCTCTCAGGATCTTCTTCAGGC